TTTCCTGAAAGGCAGAACTCGTCACAGACTTGTCGAGACAATTGTCGGCAGAAAAAAAAAAAATCAGCCGAGGGAGGGAAGTACCGAGCACACATCAAAGATGCAGCTTCAGTAAATTCTTCGTCGTTCACAGTTTCATCAAAGAAGAGCTGGATATTTACTTTCAGCTGAAGCCCCAGTATAACAGCACTGACCTTATCTGCCTTTTCCTTCCTCCTGTCACCTTTGTTTGAGTTCAGCCCTCACCTGAACCCATTATCTCCTCACAAGTAGGTCTGACTTTAGCTTTTCTTCACTTGAACTAAAGTAAGTTTCTATGAAACGATTTGTCAGTTTGTGGTAAGTTATTCTTCTGACTGGCTTCCTGTCAGGAGAGTAAAGGTATCTCTGGTGTCTCTGAGTCACTGAACAGTTTGACTGGTGCAGAACATTATGGGGGCCAGTGTCTCCAGTTTCTTTCTTCATCTTACAGTAACTGGGTATGAATTATTCAGGTTTTAGAGTGGAGTGGTCTTATTTTCTTCAGGTTTTTGGACACAGTCGTGACTGTTTTTCAGTCTAAGACCGCTGTGCATAATTATTTGTTCTGAATATAGATTGTTAATACTTCAGAGAAATGGTGGCTGCTTGTTTTTGTCTCTTTCCACGCACTCAGCACACACAATCCACAACTGTTTTTCTTGTTTTTTAATGCTTAAAGTGTCTGTATCATTGATTTTCTGTATTAAATATGAATACATTCTTGGAAAGATAACATTGATAAAATATTGCAAAAGAAGTTTCGTGTCATTAAGATGAACAGTTCTTGAGATATTCACGTGAGGTAACAGGAAGTGATGTCAAAGGGGAATGTGCGTTGCTACAATAACAGAGACAATAGAGAAGAATCTGATGTTCCTTTAGATTATTTTGAATCTATCAGAGAGATGAGGAGTCAAGAGTTCAAATAGTTTCAATGAACAAACACCAGAGAGATTTATTTCTTAAAGAGTTCCCCTTTGATGTCATTTCCTCTTTCACTTTGGTTGAGTTTAATAGAAAACATGCCAGTTATGTGAGAAAACAGGTAAAATCTAGGGGTGTAATAAAATACAGAATCTGTATGGATTCTCTAAAGCCCTGTATCAATTTTTTGATTAAAGTTTAAAATGGAAACTTTAATGCCAACGGTTCATTTTTAAGTTGTAGTTTAGCCTCCGGCCACTAGTTGGCAGCAGTCAGCCAGACATTTGGCTCCTCCACTCCTGAGGAGCCAGAGAGTAACGGTAGCTCAGTCTTTGGCTGTGTCCAAAACGACAGGCCGGGTCCTCCGGAGGACCCAGACTACCCGGTCGCGGTGGGCCACATCCTTGGTAGACCGGGAAGACCGGAAAAGAAGAGGCTGTGAATTTGGATGGTCTAGCCTCCCCTCCTTACATCATGTCACCTAGCAACTGTGACGATGCTAAACAAGCAAACTTAAATCAAAATTAGAAAAATATCAATATATTAGCATTATTAATATCACAAAACTATAAAATTAACTCAAAGG